AAAGAGTGACGGCGATGGAGCTGAGCTTCGATTAAGTGGCGCGGGTTTGAATCTCGCACCCGTGCCGGATCAGGATGTTTATTCTTGTGAAATTAATGTATCTAAGCTGACCTAACGAAACAGGAGGAAATCCTGGTGTAGAAGTACCTAACGTATTTTTAAAGAAGCATAAAAAAAGAAGATCGTATACTCATTCATTTTGTATAGAAAAAAGAAAAAGTTGTACCACCGTATCCAAATACCAACTTTTGTGGAATGGAATAATTTGAAAATATAGATAAGATATTAAAAAATATACAAATAATAGTGCAAATATATCTGTAAAATTATTAACTAGAAACAAGAAAGTACGTAAGCAAAGTTCGGAAAAGAAAAGAGCGACGCACCAGCAGTGTGAGTATATTTACACAAACCATTACGCTGCTGGTGCATCATATGGCTGGCAGTGAAGGTTCTTCCTTTTCACGTTTCAGTTTCATATGGTTGCACTTACATCTTAAGACCCCGAGGAATATCTGACAAGACGTATCGTATGTACGTGGTAGAGCCATGCTGCAGCTATATTAATTGTATAGTTGTAGCACGAATGGGTCGGCTCGATCGGGGAAGGACCATGCTCTCACAGAATACCACCTTAAAATAGCGGCTTATTGCTGCTGTGTTTCGGTATAGTGAGTGTAGTGAACCGGAGACCCTTTTTACTGAAAAAGAGGCATTCCATGTTAGTCCTTACGGCTAACCACGCATCTGCATTTTGATTCGTAAACGAGGATAGATCTAGATGTCTATGGGCCACAGCAACCACTTATCATCAGTTGGACTATGTGCTCGCTCTTAACCCTTATCCTATAAAAAAAAGAAGATTTGTGGCAGTTTCCCAAACGGAGCCCGGCCGAGTTGGATTCGTCATTGGACCTCTTGGTCTAAATTTGACTTACTTAATCGAACTTTTGTCCCGGGTACAAAAATTAGTCAACACTTCGCATAGTGTTACTAAAAACTATCAGTGTAGGTGTATTATAAACGTTGGACGTTATTTTACGGTACTGTACGGGGGTTTTCGGGACGGGACGGGACGGGACGGGAAAGTTTCGTGACAGGAAAACCTAATATGTGTTTTTGGCCATACCTGAGGTTTAAGCCCGGGAACTCATGATCAGTAATTCTGTTTACGTCTACTAAACTAAAGAGACCAACAGACCACATACATATAACCTGCCAAAGGCTATCTTTGGCAGGTTATACAGAATACTGAAGAGTATAATCTGCCGTAATGTCTGGTGTATGTGAACTAAACGAAAGCCTTCGATTCAGTTGAAATTTCGGGCGGTACTGCAGTGTCCTTAGCGCTACCGTGAAAAGAATCGATACGGTATCTATCCGAGTAAAGAATTGGAGCACGAAACCTATGAAGATAAAGAGATGAAAGACGTTAAATCCTTGAAACCATTAACCAATGCAGCGGATACGGATACGATATTAATATCAATGGCAAATAAAATTTATAATACACTTTGCAGTCGATATATTTTTTTTATTGCTTAAGTTTTAAGCTGGAGTCCGCGCGATGGATACGGGCGGCTTCGGCTTTTTGGTAACGAATTATGTTTATCTATTTTTCTTTTGTGCAATACTTATGCTGTGTTTATTTTATTTACGTCGAATTAAGTTTCTTTAAGTTATTTACTATATTGTTATTAGGGGGGATGAGTCGCTCGCGTCCGTAGGCTTCGACCACCTAATCCTAGGCCCACCCTACACGTGTCCCCCGGGTGGTGCTAAACGAGCGACAAAGCCGAAACGACAGACTCGGCTCCTCGCCGTATGGTAGCGGTGTAAAATCTACCAGCCCTTAGTTCGCACCATGAACCAAGAAGAAAAAGAAATGGCCCCGAGTTCCCGGCGCCCCTTTAATGGGGCAGGGGTGCGAAAAATCTCCGGGAGAAAAACCGGCGACGAGGTTCGCCACCCGTCACGTCCTGTCTCCCGGGGGGGCGAAAAGTGGATTGCGGAGGCCCGTCTGGCTACGCTGAATGTATGTGGAGCAATGAATGATAAGATGGATGAAGTATGCGAAATGATGAATGATAGAGGAATAGATGTGTTATGTGTGAACGAGACGAAACGAAAGGGAAGAGATGTCACTGCACATGGCATGTATACCGCTTACTGGTCTGGAGTAGACGAGACCGAGAGGGCATGCCAGGGAGTCGGTGTCATCCTTTCAGAAAGAATGGGTCAATGTGTGAAAGAGTATGGTTGTGTTAGCCCAAGGCTGCTATGGATACGAATGAAAGTGGGCTTAAAGAAGTTGTTTGTGCTAGGGGTGTACGCCACAAGATATGTCTAAGCCCACATATATCCGAGAGCAGTTTTGGGACATGGTAAGGCTGGAGTTGATGAAATGTAAGGAAAATGAAAATATTATTATATTAGGAGATTTTAATGGAAGGGTTGGAGTGAAGAGGTCTGGTTATGAAAGGATATTAGGAACGTTTGGCGATGAAAGAATAAATGAGAATGGTGAAGACCTCTTCACCGTATGTGTGGAAAAGAATCTTTTTGTGGCGAACACTTTCTTTCGCCATAAGAGGATTCACATGTATACATGGGAAAGAGGGGATGATAGAAGCATGATAGATTTTATAATTGTGGATGAAAGAATGAGGAGCGCAGTGGTAGATACAAGGGTTTACCGGGGGTCCAAGGTAGGGACGGATCATTACTTGGTCTTATGCCGAATTAATGGTCTATTCAGACGTTGGCGGCATCGGACATCTATGTCTACCACTGCGTTACAGCGTATAAGAATAGAGAGGTTACAAGATGAAGGTGTGAAAGAGAAATATAAATGCAGACTGAGGGAAAATATAAGTGGGTTGAATGAACTATGTATGAAAGATTTAGAATTGAAGAATGTATGGAATAATATTAAGAAAGTTTTGGTGGATGCAGCCACCGAAGTATGTGGTGTAAGTAAGAGAACGAATGAAAGGAAAAGTAATACGTTGTGGTGGGATGATGAGGTGCGGATGGAAGTTGAAGCAAAGAAGAGAGCATGGCTAGATTTACTAGCAACTAAAGCTGGTAATTCTGGCGATATGAATGATGAGATTGAAAAAAAAAGGCAGACTTTAGACGTATAAATAAGAGAGTAAAAGAAGTTGTTGAAAGGAAATAGCAAGAAAGGATAGATAAAAATGATAGAAGGATATCTGATAACTTCCAGGAAAATATTAAAATGTTCTGGAAGCTCGTAAGAACTGCCAGGGGAAATTCAAAACAGCCTAGAATGAATGCTATACGAGACGAGAATGGCTGCATGTTGAATGATGAAGTTTCGAATTTAAAGAGATGGAAGGAATACTTTGAAAGCATGTTTAAGAGTGAAGAGTCGTCTGAAATAAGTGAAATAGAAATTCCGGAAGAAGTGGAGAGAGGTAGGGAGATAAGTGTAGATGAAATAATGAACGCAATGAAAAGCATGAAAGCAGGTAAGGCAGCCGGATATGATAGAGTATCACTCGAAATGCTAAGGGCTGGTGAGGGTGTGGTTGCAGGCCTGCTGTACACCTTGTTTAATTTATGTTGGGAACTGAAGCGGGTACCGGAAGACCGGTGCAAAGCCGTTATAGTCCCAATATATAAGGGAAAGGGGTCGCAGCAGGACTGTAAAAACTACCGTGGTATCAGCTTGCTTAGCATTGTGGGTAAACTGTATGCTAAGGTGTTAAGTTAAGGTGTTTAATTGAAAGAGTTATGAAAGAAACTTATGGAAAAATTTGGGATGTGCAAGCTGGATTTAGAAAGGGGATGGGGTGTACGGATCAAGTATTTTCCATGCGCATGATAGCGGAGAAGTTTTTGGCTAAAAACCAGAAAGTTTTTTGTGCGTTCATGGACTTGGAAAAGGCTTATGACAGAGTGGACAGGAATGTGTTATGGCAAACACTGAACTCATTTGGGTTGACCGCTGGCTTGATACAGGCATTAAGGTCTCTTTATAGGAACTCTAGTGCTTGTTTCAGGATCAACGGGGTCTACTCGGACTGGTTTGGCATTCATAAAGGTGTCAGACAGGGATGTGTGGCTTCCCCGTGGCTGTTTAACCTATTTATGGACAGTTGTTTGCAAACTTTGAAAGTTGAAGAATGTGGGTTGAGAATGGGTGAGTCAACCGTCAAATGCCTTTTGTACGCCGATGATCAAGTCATATTTGCATCGTCGGCGGCCGAGTTGCAAATGATGGTTACTTTAATGAATTGGTCATTGAAAGAAAGGGGTATGAAAGTGAACGCAAGTAAGACGAAAGTGATGGTTTTTGAAATAGAAGAAAGTAAAACTTTATGTGAAATAAGAATAGAAGGGGAGTTGATTGAGCAAGTGGATGAGTTTGTATATTTAGGATGTTTATTAAGCAGGGATGGTAGATATGATAAGGATATAGAACGACGAGTGAACGCAGGAAATAGAGTGAATGGGGCTCTACACGCTATTATGAGGAGTCAAAATGTGTCAACTAAGGCTCATATGGCAATTCATAATGCTGTGTTAGTCCCTACATTAATGTATGGTAGTGAAAGTTGGGTCTGGCAGAAGAAGCATGAGAGTAGAATAAATGCTGTAGAAATGCGTTCCTTAAGGAGTATGCTAGGGCTGAATCTGAATAACAGGATGAAAAATAGTGTGATAAGAGAAAAGTGTGGTTTGCAAGATGACGTTGTGACAAGGATTAAGAAAGGAATGCTTCGGTGGTTTGGTCATGTAGAAAGAATGAACGAGGAAAGAGTGACTAAGCAAATTTATGTTGCAGAAGTGAACGGCAGGGTCGGGAAGGGACGCCCTAGACGAAGGTTTATCGACCAAATCGGCGATACATTAAAAATGGGCCAGATTAGGAGTACCCTTAACCGACGAGCGTATATGCGTAGATATATGGATGTAAAAGAGGCGAGAGAGGTGTGTAAGGATCGCGCCAAATGGAAGTCCGTAGTCTCTGCCTACCCCTCTGGGTGACAGGCGTGAGTGTTTATGTATGTATATGTATATGTTATTAGTCTTAGGAAAGATGTTAAAGCGGATTTGTTTTTCATAAGGTCTAAGATATTATAAGGTTCTAAACGTGAATTTCCGCAAAACATCTCGTGGTCGCATCGTTGTTTTCCAAACTGAGGACAAAATTTTAATATATGTTCTATTATTTGCACACATGTGTTGTCACAAGGACACATGTCGTTCTCAGTGATTTTGAAACGATATAAATAGCTCTTATGGTATCCGTGTCCTGTGAGTATTTGGGTTAGTTCGAAGGTGATATTAGCTTTCTCTCTTAAATCTTTAATGTGTTCCAGTTTAGGCAACCACTGCTTTAGATGAGCACCAGTTGTTGAACTGGGGTATTCCGATTCATGTGCTTGTTCAGTGTCCTGTTTCCGTAGCCGTTTATCGTATGAGATAGGGAAGTTATCATAGTCTGGAGTTTTGTGAAGTGCCGCTGCTTTCTTTGCCTCCGTGTCCGCGCTTTCGTTCCCCAGTAATCCATGATGAGCTTTGATCCAGTATAATTCTATTGTTTCTGTATTTCTTAGTATTTTTATGCTTTGGTGAATATTGTTTATAATCGGATGAGTGCTGCTGCGGTTTGCTATTTCTAGGAGAGCGGACATGGACATGTCAGTCTCATTTTTATGCATTTATTTACATGCCCTTTCGATTGCTAAGCATTCGGCCTGGAAAACCGTACAACTGCTATGTAATTTTATGCGTTTTACGGTTTCATTCCCATCAGGCAAATATATAACGTATGCAGCGCCTACTGCTTCATCGTGTTTAATTAAATGTCCGTATATATTTTAACAGTATTAGTCGTACAATATTCTTTTAGTTCTTCTAAGTTTGTTATTTTTTGTATAGCTATTGTAACATGTTCCGCGAGGTGCAATAATTTTTTAGGCGGTATTCTTTTGTTCAAGGTTATGTCGTCAGGTAAATATTTACTTATTCCATTTATTTTCGTTCGTTCGTTGTCGGCTATTTCTGTTATTTTAAGGTGTAAAGGTGTTAGGCCAGCTAATGCAAAGGCTGCAGTTGTAGGAAGTGTCCGGAATCCTCTTATTATTTTAATTGCAAATCCCCTCTGTAATAAGTAAGGCTTTTGTAACTGATTTGTATTTTGTTGCGCTATCCCATATCTCAGCGGTATAAGTTATGATAGGCTCTATAACTTGCTTGTAAATGAATGACACATTTTACGATTTAACTCCCCATGTAGGTCGAGTGATTAGACTTAGTTTTTTGAAAATTCATTGCGCTTTATTTATTACATATTTGCAGTGTTTGATGAATTTAAAATGTAGACCTATTATAACGCCGAGTAATTTAAAGTGTTCTGTAAATTGTAAAACGTTACTGTTAATAGTGATTTTAGTTGATATATTAACTATGGCTAAATTGCTGGAGGACCTTAGTCAACGACCTTAGTACCGTTTCCAAACAAGCAGGTATTTTTTTTATGGGATAAGGGTGACAAACGAGCACACAGTCCACCTGATGGTAAGTGGTTGCTGCGGCCCATAGACATCTACATCTATCCTCGTTTGCAAATTAAAAAGCAGATGCGTTGTCACCCGTGAGGACTAAGATGGAATGCCTCATTCCCAGTAAAAAGGGCCTCTGGCCACCTGCACTCCCCAAGCGAAACGCATAGGTAAACCTCTAATTTACGCTGGTATTCTGTGAGGTCGTGGTACCACCCCGGTTCGAGCCGGCCCATCCGTGCGACAGTAAAAGCTGCCGCGTGGCTCTGCCACTGTTAAAAGGTATTAAGGTATTAAGCTGAATATGGACAAGTCAAAAATAAAGTATAAAGTTTAAAATACATTAATACTTGTAGTTTTGGAAAGAATAACTCGAATCGGATGATGAATTTGTGTACCCGGGACAAAAGTTTCGATTACGTAAGTTCAGATTAATCCAACTGGGCTGAGCTGCCTTTATGTAGCTGCAATAAATCTTTTAGCCCTATATTCATCAGAATTTTAGTACGAAAGGGGACAAGCAGTGCGTATTGCTAGAGAAACTGAAACTGAAACGTGGTCCTTCACTACTTGCCGCATGAAGAAACTAAAAATCACAAAGCATGCGTTTGAAAAAGTTATGCTCATAATTTCTCAACGGTATAAAATACGTAACGAAGATATCCGTGGAAGAACAAGAGTAACTAATACAGCCCAGCGTATCGGCAAACCAACCTGGCAATGGGCCGGCTATATAGCTCAAAGAACCGATAACCGATGAGGGATAAAGGTGCTTCAGGGGCAGCCTCGTAGTGTGTTGGGCGATCCCCCACTAGATTGAGTGATTACCTGATGAAACACGCGGGAAATAGGTATAGACGTAGATGTCTCAAGGTCGTACTTAAAGGGAATATATAGGGGAGGTCTATGTTCAGCCGTGTATATGTGATAGGCAGTCGTGGATAGCTAAATTGATATTGATAGACAATAAGAATTTTTCGGCTTGAACGGGGAAGGAGCAAAATAGCAGAATAATGCTGCTGTGTTTTTTTTATAGGATAAGGGTGACAAACGAGCACACAATCCACCTGATGGTAAGTGGTTGCTGCGGCCTATAAACATCTAGATCTATCCTCTATTAAAAATCAAAAGGTAGATGCGTTTTCACCCATGAGGACTAAGATAGAATGCCTCATTTCCAGTAAAAAGGACCTCCGGCCACCTGCACTCACCAAGCAAAACGCAGAGGTAAACCTCTACTTCACGCTCGTTTTCTGTGAGTTCGTGGTACCACCCCGGTTCGAGCCGGCACATCCGTGCGACAGCAAAAGCTGTCGCGTGGCTGTACCACTGTTAAAACTGTGTTTTTTCTCTACAAATATGCTAATACTGAAAATTCCATAAACTGCGCTAAAAACTAAAATTCATCATCATCATTACAGCCCTTCACATGTCCACTGCTGAACATAGACCTCCCGCAAGGAATGCCACAAAGCGCGGTCCTGAGCCACCTGCATCCATCGACTTCCTGCATGTCTCACCAGGTCGTCACTCCATCTAGTTAGGAGTCGCCGTACACTTCGCCTACCGGTACGAGGCTGCCACTCAAGAACTTTTCTTCCCCATCGGTTGACGGTTCTTCGAGCTATATGGCCGGCCCACTGCCACTTCAGCTTACTAATCCATTGGGCTATGTCGGTTACTCTGGTTCTACTGCGGATATCCTCATTTCTAAGTTTAACACGCAGAGACACCACAAGCATAGCCCTCTCCGTAGCTCGCTGAGCGACCTTGAGCTTCCTCCAGTGTGAAGCCAGCAGTAAAGGACCACGTCTCAGATCCGTAAGTCATCACTGGCAACACGCACTGGATGAATGTGAAAAATAGATTGTAAAGTGTTAAAATTAGTAATCACAGGAGTTCAGATTTACCAGTGACCTACGGTGTACCTCAGGGCAGTATACTGGGGCCCACCTTATTCACATTTTATATTAATGATCTCTGTCAAAAGAAGCTCATTTCTGGAAAGTCTATTTGCTATGCAGATGATACTGTGCTACTTTTTGCAGAGGGTGATTGGAAAAAAACTTTTGAAGCTGCCCAAAATTCATTCAATACTGTACAAAGGTGGTTGTGCTCTAATAAATTAACTTTAAATGCGGAGAAAACCAAATATCTGACCTTTTCCATGCGTGATGTGACGCAACCAGGAAACGCTTTCTCTCTACGTGCACATAGCTGTATTTTAAAAAATCCTAGCTCTCTCACTTCCTGCCGATGTCCGTTATTGGAAAGAGTTGAGGTTGTCAGGTATTTGGGTATCCTTCTAGACAAAAATCTATCTTTTGAACACCATATTCAACATTTAAAAAATCGTATCCGCAAACTAATATATGTTTTTAAAAATCTAAGACATGTAGTGCAACCATATCTTATGAAACAGGTGTATCTTGTTCTGTGTGAATCTGTGTTAAATTATTGCATTTCTTGTTGGGGTGGGGCTCTAAAAACGCACATGCTTTCTTTAGAAAGGGCTCAAAGAGCTCTTTTAAAGGTCTCCACTTTTAAACCATTTCAATATCCTACAATATTACTCTACAATAACTGCCAAGTACTAACTGTTCGCCAACTATTTGTTCTAAATGTTATTAAAAAACAGCATCAGTCTATAAATTATGACCCAGACAAAATCAAATGTAAACGTCGTAAAGACATTGTGATTCAGTCCAGTTTTAAGCCCAACACAAAATTCATAAAAAAATATTTTTGCTTTCTTGGCCCATATTTATATAATAAAATAAACAAAATTGTTCATATATATTCTATGAATAGGCATGAATGCAACATTGCCCTCAGAAAATGGCTTCAACTAAAGTCTTATGAAGAAACGGAGAATTTGTTAACAGTACTTGCATAAGTGTTCATAGATGTCAATTCGTTACTTATCTGCAAAAACATTTTTTTTTTATTTTATTTTATTTTGATCTGTGCATGTCTTTTAAATTCTAAGGATCTATATTTTTTTTTTTTGGGTCACTTTTGTATTATTTCATTATATTTTGTGTATCTTATTTAAGGATTTATGTAAGTGGGAAGAGCTTTGCTTAACCTAAAACACAGGGTTTACCCTAACTTAGGAAGCAAGTTCATTTTTAAGAACATGTTTAGTATATAAGATGCATTGTTTGACTCTTACTCTGTATCACTTTTCTATTTGAATAAATTATTATTATTATTATTATTACGGGTTGTACAATTTCGTTTTCAGGTTTTGAGGTATGTCTAACGAGAAGATGTGTCGTAGTTTCCCGAACGCTGCCCACCCGATTTGAATCCGTCGACTGACCTCTTGGTCGAAGTTGGACTTACCTAGTCGGCCTATTTGTCCCAGGTAAACACTCGTCAACAACTTCGAGCTTAGTGCTCTCAACAACTACCGGCATAGGTGTTACATGGACGTTAAACATGATTTTTGTTTTGTCCATGTTCATCTTAAGACCTATTCGTTGGGAGACACTGCTGAGGTCATTGATCATAGTGCTTAGGTTCTCTAATGATTCTGCCATAAGGATTATATCGTGAGTAAATCGAAGGTGAGTGATGTACTCGCCATTGACGTTAAAACCGTAACTTTTCCAGTCCAGTAGCTTGAAAACGTCTTCCAATGCAGCGGTGAAGAGTTTCGGGGATATAACGTCACCCTGTCTTACACCTCTCTGCAATTGGATAGGTTTCGTACTCTGGTTCTGTACTCGGATAGCCATCGTAGCTCTACTGTACAAACACTTCAGCACTTCGATATACCGACAGTCGACTTGGCACCGCTGAAGGGACTGCAGCACCGCCCAAATTTCGACGGAATCAAAGGCTTTCTCTTAGTCTACATACACAAGGCAAAGTGGCAGATTATACTTCTCTGTCTTCTGTACAATCTGCCGCAGGGTATGTATGTGGTCCATGGTACTAAAGCCTTTTTGGAAACCGGCTTGTTCGGGAGGCTGGAAGTCGTCAAGTCTGCGTGCGAGACGATACGTAATGACTCTCGAAAACAGCACGTAGACGCGGCTCAGAAGGGAAATCGGTCTGTAGTTCTTCAAGAGAAAGTTGTCGCCTTTCTTGAGGAACCAGACCACCGCACTTCTGCTCCAAGCCTCCGGAGTAGTGCCACCATGAAGGAC